TTCTTCTTGATTCCTCTGAGTGACTAAATGCGTTGGTCTTCTCGAATTTGCAATCAAAGATGATTGGAGAACGGCAGAGTATAACAAACCTAATCTTTATTTGGTTGAAGCTTATTTCAATCTCAGCAATTAACCCAATTGGACTACATTTATTATACTTACGGAAATCAAATACTCGTTTTCTTACTATTACTTCGCCGCTCTTAAGGCACAAATAATTGTTCCCTTTTCTCAGTTGCCTTAGTGAATTTCCTAAGCTTCTACTGGTTCTTTGCAGAAGATTAAGACCACGAACGCATAGCAAAATCAAAGTCAAGCAGTCTTAGAAAGCAAGAATGCTCAATCAAAGTGGCCTTTTAATACGATATGTAAACAGCTTTGAAAGCATGCAGCATCGGCTCCAAATCTGCCTTAGCTATCCGCTGCGGATCTTGAGCGAGGAGTTATGAAGATTTTTTGAAGCAAAAAGCTAAATGTCATAATTAGTGTAAATATAGTCCTTACCATTCTTAGAGCTTGAATGAGGCAGCGGCAAATGGATATACCTATTCAAATGAAAATATTCGTTACTTGAAGTAACCCGAAAATGATGAGACAAAGCCCCGTAGTAAACCCCCCATCAGTGCATCCCTCTTGACGCGGACCGGGGGCGAGCTCATCGCGCTTCAGTCCAGCATCCAGTGAAGTAGGGATCTGGATGCGGATCTCTTTCTAGACATGATAATCATGTTCGCTCTTGAAAAGGCAACTTGAGCTGGTTTGGTCGAGCAGGTAAGCGATTGGTATTGAACGCGCGCGGCCATGGTTCGATACTGGCTAGCGCCATCCTTTTGCTGTATCGCAGGGCGTCTTTGATAGCGACCACTGTCGGCAAGTCGGTGGTGACCGCTATCAAGGATTCGCCTAGAAAATGCATGGATGAAACAAAACGCATTTTTTAAGAAAATTTCATAGAAAATTGAAAAAAATTGCAACACGAATCCAATGAAATAAATCTAAAAATTCTTGCCTTGAGCAGCTCGTCAAAGAAAAAAGTCAGTGAACTCTACAAAAGAGAGAAAAAGGTTTTTCTATTTTCCTCGCCAAAATCAGCTGTTTATCGATCTTCTCCTTTTCGGGTCGCGGTATTGTGCAGTTTTGCGCCGATTTTGTCTGCATTTTTAGCCTAACTGATGTGTATCATAACTTAGGAGCAACTTACGGGAGCCTTGTCTGCGTCTCCTCCTTTGCACACTATTTGCATCACTCTAACATCAGTTCACGTTCAGTTCAACTGAACGTGAACTGATGTGCGCGAGTTGACTGCAGCAGGTGGACAGATGGTCAACTATCAGTTCACTTGCCATGCTTATAGCATGGGAAGGCGGGCGGTCATCAGTTCACCTCACCTAAGGTGAACTAATGGGTTAAGTTCAGTTCACCTGAACTGCTCGAACTTTACTACGGGCCAAAATCTATCCTAGCCCTATTCAGATTTTTGCTAAGAAAAACCTTCATTACTCGTCGTTCAGATAACGAAGGCAGATTTGGAATCAGAGTTTCACGCCCTTCAAGGTGGTTCACATTTCGTACTGAAGTGCCAATTTGACTACAAACTTTTCCTTGTTAGTAAGAAATATATGCTCTGCTGGATGATGCGGATCACCTCTACCCATTTTTAGTGGCGAGAAGAGAGAGGCGGCCTCTTCCTTTAAGCAGGGTATAAAGACAGGTGGGCAGAGGGACCAGCGAGAGCGTGAAGAGAGCGCCCTTGGAGCTTGAGCGAGCCAAAGACTCCCCCCCCCCCTTACATAGAGGTGCCAAATCGGGTGGAATGCCTGTTGTTGTACATAGCGTTGTGTTCTTGTTGCTGTTAATTTTGTGCCATTTGGATAAACTATCTTCTACTCAACCCGTGTTTCTCATCGATCAGATTCTACCAGGACTCACCACTATGCCACCCTTCTTTACAGCTCAGAATTGGGCTTCACCTTTGCTTTTCTTCGACGAATGAAAAAGGTGTTAACCTACGTCACATGGTTTTATTCGCGACAAACGTATGATACAACTCACTTCAGTAGCTATTCTCTCGACCAGGCTTGATCGGCAGAGAATCACCATGAAACTTACGTTGCTCATTTAAATGTAGACTTTCTGGCTTGATAAGGATTCATTTCCATTACAACCGGTGAAAGATCAATAAGTTTAATAGAACGGTTCAACGAATCGCTGTAAAAGTACCACCGCCGGGGTCGGAAACACACAGTGACTGTCGAGAAGTTGCGGACAAGCCGCAATTCTTTTCATAGCTCATTCTCAGATAAAAAATGAAGATGAAAAATGAATTACTTGCACGAGATGATGCAGCTCTTCAAGAGCTACAACCCACTTAATACACTTTTCGAAAACATGAGTTCTAGAAAATTCTAAAAATATTTTATTAAAGAAGTCCGAAAATGACCGCGTCACAATATAGCGGGCAATAATTCTTCAAACGCGAAGTTTTCCTTTGGGTTATTTTGGTTGCGAAAAAAACTAGTGATCCGAACAGGTAAGCAAATGTCATAAAGAATTCGTCAAAGACTATAATCTGGTTTTGGTTAATTCTTAGAAAAACAAAAGCTCAAATTTTCTTTGCATTTTTTAGAAACCAACTTCTGTTTCCTTCTTTCAAACCAAACTTCTTCCCATGGGAACCAATTCACATCTTTACAAAGCTTTCTGGATAAAATGGATGCTCTTTGCCATCCTCCATGCATCGGACTTGCGCTGGTGTGCTTCTTTGCTGAAAATGGAAAAATTGCACTTACGGACTTTTTACCTTTATTTGTACAAATAGGCGCTGGTCCCAGGGCTCAGCACGAGGTGGCTTTTTCATTCTTCTGAAAACGAAGTTTCCACTGACTTTGCAGCTAACATACGACATCCCCTATGACCACTAATGATTAAAACAAACAAAACGAGCGAAGAAGAATACAAGTGGAAAACGAAATTGACGGTAAGAACAAGTAATCATTTTCGTATTCATCGAATTGGCAGCATACTTTGTCCATCGCGCACCATCGCGCTCCTGGAGCAGCATTGCCGCCTCTACACGAAATTTTTCCAGGAATGTAACTAGTTAAAAAACTGGTCTGTAGGGATTTGGATTTAGAACAAAACTAAGTAAAAAGTTTTTAAAAAAATTGAAGGGAGTAAAAAATATGACTTTTTCTTTTTACAGCCACCTCAGGTGGCTGTCCAGGTGGCTGTAAAGCCACCTAACTCCTGAAAAAGTTTGCCACGACATCAGTTCACATAAGTTTTTCATAATTTTTTACAATAGTTCCACTTTCCCACTGCCCATCTACACTCCAATTTTGGTGTCATATCATTTCTTCTCCGCTGTATACATGGCTTTTGTCTACCTCAGGGCATATATTTTAATTCCCGCACTTCTACGCATATCGGAGCGAGAAATTGTTAGTTTTGCAAAGAATGGAGTTCTACAGGCAGTCATTTGTGAAGTCTCCAGAAGATGGGTAGGTGGATTAGAAGGGGAAGGGGAGGGGGATGCAACTGCGTGCTCCGCCAAGGACCCCGCAAAAACGATACCCCCTTTGCTTCCTACTCCAAAACGATATCCAGCCTGCCCGGTAAGCCACCTGTGCCGAGCCCTGCGCTGGTCGCTTAAGTCAAGTAACATCAAAAAAAGGAGCAGGAAGTTACCTTGGGTTTTTACGCATACACGATGTTTTAGCATTTCACGCAACTTTCGGCGTAATTTTTCAGGTCTGTGTTTTTCAAAAATGAGTCTCTGACGAAAAGTGTCTCAAAAGTGCATTACCGCTCATAATTCGTCAAAAAAGCCACCGCTATCCGGCGAGTTTGACGAATTATGAGCAGTATTGTATTTACTTCATACTCCAAAACGTACAGGGAGCAGATATAGTCATGCTTTGAATTTGAATGTGTTGATGCCATCCATGTCTATGCAGAGTTTATCAGTTTTTTACCTCTTTTCTCTATTCAGTTGTTCTGCGAACATATAGGTCGCAATCATGCGAATTATTACACAAGATCAGTCAAGCTTCGAAGTCTCATCAATTCCACCTTCATTGATTTAAAAGTATGCTTTGAGTACTGTTTGATTCGAGATGCTCTACTAAGTGGTTAGTTATGGGCACACCCCATGTATCCACAATAGAACGTCTTTCTCAAACCGCGTTAGTGGAAATTATATCGGATCATACCTGGTGCTTTGCTTGAAACCTTTGATTATGACAATAAAGCTATGAGTACGTCACTATAAACAATCCGCGTTTATGTGACAGTACTCCCCCCTCCCCCCCCCCTTCAACTGAACTTACACAGTAGTAAGCAGTTGAGAAATAACCAAGTACAGCTGCAATCTACACTTATGAAATTTACAATAATTTTTTACTAAAGTACTAATGAAATGTGACCGGATAGCCTCAAAAGTATAACAATGCGGTTATGTAATGCATAGGCAGAGAATTCAGTTAGTATCTGCTCATGCAAACCTAGCAAATAGTGGATCGCTAATAATCATTTTGTCAAGAAGTGTAGAGAAGGGGTTTTGCAAATGTAATGCAAATATTTGCCATGAACAGATATCAAAGGGCTAACCAATTTCTTTGAGCAATGAACAAGGGTCCTAAATTTGCAGGAAATGCAAGACTTGCAGCATCTGTTAGTTGAAATTTGTTTTGACAGCTTTGTCTTCATTGTACTTGAATACGTGTTCGTGGAGCCAATATAGCTATAAAAGGAGCAGCATTGAAGGTGAGCCATTCACTTACCAATTTTACGATTCTATTAGCTATTTTTTCACATCGTAAGACAAAAATATAATTTTGTAAATAATCTCAAAGCAGATTGATCATGCTGAAATTATTCCTGCTTTGCTTCCTATTCGCAGTGGTTATCAGCGAGGATAAAGCAACTACGACCCCGCAAAAGCCGATAGAACCCAGAATTCGTAAGACTTAACTGTCTTGTAAGCAAGACTGCACTAGGTCATGAATTTAGTGAGAGACGAAGAAAAGGAGGTGTACCCTGCAGCACCCATGACTGGAGAAAATTCATGTAAGTTGGGATATCAACCAGCGCTTGGATTCGACTTTGTTTCAGGTGGAAAAGGAGCGATGTGCGGCAAATCCGCACCTTTGGAACTCTCGAAGGAGAAAGAGGACTTGGAATCTCGTAAGTGAGAAACTAATCGTATGCATGAGAACGTATTGTCACTTACAGGAAAGAGTAGATCAACTTACATTTCGGGAAATTCTTCACCTGAGGAAGACGTGAGCAAGATTGATTATTCATAAAAGGCAAATTTATATGTGTTGCAGGACTATGAGGAAGAAGAGGAGTGAAGCGCTTCTAAATGCATTCACTTGGTGCGTCTACACTTGAAGTCGCGTACAATTGAATCCGCTGTTTTGCAAAAAAGAGCATATTTTTTAGATCATTGAAACATTTTTTAGTGGGAAATAAAGCGTTTTGGGGTTGTGTGGTCTTTTCCGCACGTATATGTTGTACTACTTTCGTTAATGACATGAGATGTGAAGAAACTTCCAAACTCTTCTTCACATAACTTTGTGAAACCCGGTTAAGGGAGAAAATGGAAGTTGAGGATCTGCCCAAATGGCTTTAAAGGCAGCGTCCGGGCAAGATCCATCTACCCAGATGAGCACATAGTTGTAAAGAGGGGCCCATGAGTTCCCGATCTGCGTTGGTCCGATTCTCTGACGTGGCCTCTAAAAGGAGATATGGGCCTGTGATACGTATCACAAGCCGCCCTTTCGTATCACAGACCACCTCTAAGGACGTGTGCTTACGCAGGTGTGCGGTTGCATTGCAGTTGCATTGCAGTTGCCCTGCACACTGCAATGCAACTGCATCCGTGCAGTTGCAGCTCCTCCCGCTGGCATGACGATGGGGATGAGCGATTCGAAACTCGTCCGCTCCTTGAAGAAAGGGTCCCCAAGAACCGGGATTTTTGGGAGTTTTGAACAATTTGGACTTTACAACTGTAATCAGGGCCACGGAAAGGCCCCAGAATGGCAGAAACATCGGAGGTGAAATTTTGCCCGGACGCTGCCTTTAAGGATGATCTTCGCATACGACAGGCTGAGATAATCAACGCTAACAATAAGATGTTGAATGTAACTAGAGTTTTTTTTCAAAATTCTTCGACCCACCATTAATGTAAGAAAGCAGTACACAGAAGCACAGAAACTTGAAGAAAGCAGTCGTTGATGTCTCAAAGTTCGAGCATAATTTCATTCTTCGGTCTGCTTGGACAGAGTCTGAAACCGCTAACTGCCACAAAGACTTCATAACAATGTATCTTCATCCCCTTGACTTCACGCTCTGAGTCGCAAGCATTCTTCAAATGGGCAGCCCTCGTAGAAGTCTAGCCAAGCCAAGAGATTTAACGAATGAGGAAGGATAATATGCGAAAAACATTACCGCCCACGAAATGTGCAAAATTTCCTAATTGTAATTTCGCGGAATTCCTATGTTGGTAGCGCGTAGCGCGAATTTCGACAATGTCGCGGAATTACCGGAATTTCGCAGAATATCTGAGAATTCCGCAGAATTTTGGGTTATCTCGCGGAAGTTCGCGACATGCGGAAATTTCACATGGTTTTATGGTATTGTACTTTACGTACACTTCCTGATGCAGCTCAAGTGAAAGGCTCTTTGCTCACTCTCCAAATATCGAGAATATCCAGTAATAATGACGAAGGTGCAATTCAACGAGAAGATTTGTAACCAGTAGTCATTTGGCGTTTCTTCTTCGCTTTCAAGGTCAGGATTGTTTGTGACTTGCGACATCATTTTTGCTCATTTCCACATCAATTTAAACAAAAAAAACTAACCACTACTGCTTCACAGTAATCCAATTACCATTTTGATTCTGAGAACATTGTTAGGATAAGATACTGATTTCTCTTCAAGCGACTGTATACCTTCTTTTTATAAAAGCATAGAATTCCTGACCCACATGAGAAATAACATATAAAATGCTAGCACAATGCTAGCGTGGCTATCTTTGGAAATTCCTACCGGAAACAAATATTCGAGCGAGCATAGCATTGCAGCATAATAGCCGTAGCTACGACTAAAGGGTATTTTGAGTGAAGCGTGAAATAATACTCCTTGCGACAAAACTACTGAGTTAAAGCTTCTGTTACATTTTTACAAGGATTTTTCAAATCAGCTTCTACGTAGAAGACCTCATCGCAGTTCTATAAAATGCAAACTTTTTTGAACATAAAACGGAATTGTTTTTAAAGCATTTGATTAAAACCTTCAGTAATTAAGATAGCTACCATCTTGTCAATAAGATTCAGTGAAAAAAACTATTAGACTGTTGCAAAAATAATGTCCGTTTTTCTAGGCCTATTTTCCGAACAACTTTTCTCCTCCAAAATTTCTTCTTCGATATAAATTCCGCATATCTTTGTAGAGCTTTCTTCAAGTATGTACTTTCCAATAGTGGTAAGTTTAATCTTCTATCTCATCCATAAGAATTTCACCAGCATCTCGCACAGCTGCATTTAGAGTTAAAATGATGTTGCTATAACTTCCTTGGCCACAATTCAGGCGCAAATGAACCAATTCTTTTGACAATATAGCTACTGTATGGGATGAATATGTTTACCTGTTGCGTGTTTAAGAAAATTGTTCGAATCTATCTGGACTGAGAAATCGACGCCTTAAAATAGATACTCGCTGCATGACACTCTACGGATTAAAAAATTATCCCGATTTAGGAGTCGTCAAAGCTTTGCTCATTTCTGTATGCTTGAGGTCAGAACATCTTGTCTACAATTTTTGCGGATAAACTTAGCTATTCAGTGCATGAAGAATTCTAAATTTTTCATAGTTTGGGACCTTCTGCCTACCACAAATAGGCTCGAAAAGTGAACAATTTTGGATTTTTATCTTTCTTTTTTTTCGCAGGTCCCTTTCGTTGAAGTTTTTTTTCTACACATACATATACTAATGGCTCTTGCGCTACAAAATAAGCTGATTAGCAGCCATAAAAGCAAAACTTGAAGGAATTTGTAATCTTTCAAAGACGAGGTTTTCAAAAGAAAAACTTTCGGTTTTCTGACGCATTCTTTTCTTCCTTTGCGATATCAGTATATGCAGATGCGCCTCAGGTTATGAAAGGTTTACTGCTTCTAAAGGTCTTGATTGCATTCAAAAATATGAAAATGGATAATCTTATAGTCTTTCAAAGTAAAACTTTGCAAAGAGGACATTATTCTTGCACCAATCTATATTTACTCAAAAACTCGAAATGCTACTTACTATTAGGATGACATTAAGTAATTGTGCGGGTCACTTGTTTTTTGTGATTGATTGAATTATTTTATATTTTTAAAAGTCATATCATCTTTGTAAAAAAATTTCAGAGGTTTTCCTCTTTTTCCAGAATTTATAGGGCAGCTACATCCGAAAGATTTTTCATCTCCCCTCCCCTCGAGAGCGAAATTTTTCACGTATGTATACACATTCCATTTCTTTTTGTTATCCTTTTGTGCAAAAACCAGTTATACCATGTTTATATTGATTCTAATTTGCTCCAATTTTCACTGCGTATGCTGGCTGTTGTTCCAGAGATTTGCACCTGATGGGTTACCTTTTGTTGGTAAGGAAATGCGTAGCGTTGCCGTTGGCACTGCAGCTAGGATACCATTGTTCACGTATTGAATTTGCATTGCTAGTAAGTGGTCAGTCTTCACTTTAAGATTTCTAAACTTTCTCTTTCTCTGTCCGGTAACTTTCCAGTCAAGACCTCACAATCGAGAAAACCCATTGTGTAATTCTTGTTGACTCTATCTCATCGTGCTTCGACCAGGTCAAGGGACAGAAGCGAAAGGTTTAGAACTTAGATCTACAGTGTAAAAGGTATCTTCGAACTTCTTCAGAAGTGCAGAATTTGCATAGGAACTTTCAGTACATATTAATGTTGCAGTGTAGATGCCATTTTTAGAAATTCCTTGAACTTAAAGCTTTTTAACGTGTTTTCAGTTGTAGTTTCAAATTTTGAGGATCATTAAGAACATCAACAATGCCTCTATGTTATTTGCGAGATTTACAATCAGGGCTCGGCACGAGGTGGCTAGTTAAAAAAAACGAAGTCCGTTGACTTTTGCGAATTTCTACCAAATCCCCTTTGACCCTACACCATAATCCCTAAGAATGTCCAAAAACGAAACGTCTAAAAAAACGTCGCAAATTTTGTGTCTTTTCGGCCGAAAAAACGAAAATCCCTTTGCTTTTTATCCCAAAAACGATATCCAGCTTGCTCATAAGCCACCTCTCCCGAGGCCTGTTTATAATAATGAACAGATTTCGTCCCTACACTTCTGAAAGGCTTGAAAAAAAGTTTATAAACTTGCCGTATATGCGACTATTTGTTTCAATAAAGAAACAGACAGATCCTAGAATGTGCAAGTTTTACATCAACTTTTCTTTCAAATGCATACATACATCCCGCTCTAGTGGATGAGTCTAGCGTCATTTATTTGAGCTTTGGTCCTTAATTGTCCTCCGTGGCCGAGTTCCATAGAAACCTAAACACACTGTCTATAACTAGCAACGGATTCTCTCTTGATCAAGAATCACCAATTCTTCGAAGTTTAATTTTTGCTTCAGCTGTTTCCATCCTAATTGAAAATGTGACTTATTCTTGGCAGGTATGGTGTTTCGGTACTCATATTCGTCATCTCTTCATAAGACCACCCCTCCTTTTATTCTATCATACTTGAAAACATACTGTGTTGCCTAAGGTTTAGTACGAAATTAGTTTCCAAAAACTTTTTTTTGAGTTCATCGGAATGTTGAAATTGCTGAGATTTGACGTAAAAAGAGTCACTACGATTAACCAACTGGAAAATCGATGACGAGGTGTCTCAAAAGTATTTATAGCGTCTGTTCTTCAATAACTCTCTTACCTCAATATATTTCATGGTACTGTTCGTAGAGTTTAATCTAGATTTAAAATGTACGAATCATTGAATTCTTACTCTCGATTTTCTATCAGTTAATCATAGTGACCCTTTTTAGATCAAATCTCAGCAATTTCAACATTCGATGAACTCAAAAAAGTTTACTCTGGGGGAAACTACAGGGAATATTAGCACCTTGACTTCTTTGGAATTTGGCGCTCTTCTGAAATCTTCACGACTAACCTGAATTTGTGCACAGAGGTTTTCATGCAGACCGGTTCTATTAGAAAACTACATGGAAGTGTTTGAAGGGTAGATTAGTAAGTGACAGGATGGATCTTATATAAAGCTGAATGTCTGTTTGTCTGTCTGTATGTCTGTATGTCTGTATGTTTGTCTGTCTGTACGTATGTTCCGAATAGAAAATTCCATTTCTGAACCGATCCGGACCAAACTTGCAGGGCTCAGCACAGCTGGCACCGGGTCAAGCTGGATATCGTTTCTAGGGCGGAAAGCAAAGGGGATGTCGTTTCTACAGGGGCCGAGGCGGAGAACTGCCGCAAAAATGCCGCCGACATGCCATTAAAGGCAGTGTCCGGGCAAAAACTCGATTTTGAGATTTTGTGCTTACTTGGGCCTATTCGCTACGCTGAATCCGAAAATACACATTGTAGAGCGCAAAAATGGCGAAAAACGGCTCTAACACAGGAGGGAAATGAGCAGGTGGGCGGGGTCCTCCCCACTGCGAATTCACGTCCCCTGCTTCTGAAGCGACCTTCTCGCTTCCGGTTTCAAGTCAGTCATTCGCACCTGACCGGTAGCGAGTTAGGACGGCTAGCGGAATCGAGAAAATCGCTCCGGAAGCCGGGAGCGTGAAATCGCACTGGGGAAAGCCCCGCCCACCTGCTGGTTTCCCTCCTGTGTTAGGGCCCTTTTTCGCCGTTTTCGCGCTTTCCAATGTGGATTTTCGGATTCAGCATGGCGAATAGGCCCGTATAAGCACAAAATCTCAAAATCGAGTTTTTGCCCGGACACTGCCTTTAACAAGCTGTCCATCAACAAACAAAGGCGTTGTTTTCAGCCAAAATGCAATAGTATGACACCAAATTTGGTGCGTGCATGCGCGTTGGTGGACCGGAACTACGGGCCAAAAATTTATGAAAACTTATGTGAATGAAAGCTGTGCCGAACTTTTTTCTGAATTAGCTGGCACCGTGCCAGCTGGGTGCCAGCTGAGCTGGCGCCGACACTTTGCTCACATAAGTTTTCATACTTTTTTTTACATAAAATGTATCTACATTGTAAAAGATTACATACGGAGAAGAAACAGTTTCATAATGTTCTCTTTTCAGCGTTTTATAGCAATTTGAAATTCGGTCCACTCCGCAGTTGAAAAATCGGCTTTTTCTGCTTCAAGATGTGATTCGACCACTTAAAAAGCTCAGAAAGCTGTGAAAAGTTCTTTCATGAAATGAGAAATGCATGAAAACACTACACATTTTTTTACATAATATAAAAATGATGACGGGTTTTCAAAATAGGTCAAAAGGGACTTCGTACGAAATTTTCAATATCTAACGGGACTTCGTTTTGAAATTTCCCTGGTACTTTTTACTTTTCGTCATCGATCGATATCGATAAAATCGACATCGATCGATAACGAAAAGTGGACTGTGACACCCGCCGGGGCCCGAAGTGTATGTGTGTCAAGTTTGGTCCGGATCGGTTAAGAAATGGAATTTTCTATTCGGAACATACGGCGAAGCCGGGTAAGCCAGCTAGTATCCTATATAGTGGTGTAAAAATGGCTCTCTTGGAGCACAAGTCTCTTAAACATTCCATCGAACTCCTTGGTAAATAATTTTTGTACCATCTGAGCTGGGCCCTACAAAAAATACTGCATAATCCTTGACCAATTAGCTACTGAGATTGGAGATCATACAATTTTGCGAAATTACCGTGGATCCAAACGTTCGTCATTGTTTGTATAGCTCGATTACTAAAACATATTCCATCTTGTTCAACAAAACAAAATCTCGCTATTTTTGCAAATTTGCAAGCAGTGTAATTTAGAGAAATGTTCAAAATGGTGACTCTTGCTATTTTTTTCTTGTAGTACTGAACTTGCCCAAGTTCTCTTTCTTTGGCTTTCTTGTAAATAATTCAACACTCTTATTACTCGCTTTTATTCAATCGAAATTACGCTAAAATAGTGCGAGATTTCTGGTCCTTGCTTTCTTTCAGTACTCTAGGCAACAAGACACGATGTCTGAAGAAGAAGAAGAGCGTTGTATTTGTCAAATCTGTGAATGCGGGTAAGGCGAACACTTCAATTTCGAGCAAAGCAAATTTTCAAATGTGCTCGTCAGAAACCACAAGTGCGCACATGTGGACGCTGACTGGGGTATGAGTAAGGGAATCGGTGAAGCAGCTACTGAGTATGGTGCCCAATATCCGGGTAAAGAAGTGGTAAGGTAAGAAAGCTGACCACACTTGCTAAATTTCCATAGCTAGCATATGCTCGTCTCCAGGACACGTGCAATTCGCCCAGCTGAGACGATAATCAATTCGGGAGAATTCAACGGAGAAACGACTAACAAAGCGGATTTCGATGAGAAACATGTATGTAGCCCAGTAATCAGAAGACCTCGTAGCTGTCTAAGAGTATAGCTAAGAAGTTTATAGGTGTCTAGAAATCGATCTTTCAAACCAGCCGCTTCACCGATTCAATCTGGAGAGTTTAACGGGAACACCACCAATAAATCGGACTTCAATGTCAAGCAGGTTAATCGCAGCGTCTTTGTGCACCTCTTAAATTTCGAAATAACAGCAAAACTCGAGTGAACATTCATAACAAGCGATTTATTTATTTATTTATTTATTCATTACGCACAAGGCTGCCATAAATAAAACAAAATACTAAGAACATGCAGGAAATTACAAAGAACAAAACAAAAAACATCAAATAAGTTAGCTCAAGTCCAGTAATAAAATTGCTTTAGCGAACTGACCCTTTATAGGGAAAGAGTGGGCAAAAGGGTCCATTGGTTGTGCCAGTAGCACCTTTGTAAAATTGCGTTTTGAACAATTCTTGGTGCAAATTTCTTTTTTGCCAGAAGTCCAGAACTTTGCAAAAAGTTACGTTATCATTGGAGTATCCAGGATTTCCGTTCGGAAGGGGGGATTTTTTTGATGATGGTGCACGGTGCCAGCCATGCCTTCGAAATTTTTTTCAAAGGTTAAACTGAATTTTCAAAATTGAAAGTTATTCAAATTATCTACGTATGTACTAGTCGCTTGCAGATTTTTATGACTCATGTAAGTAACCTTCAAAAATTCCGCGACCCATCCTTAGGGGGGGGGGGAGAGAATGATGCTGTTTTACATTTTACGATTTTAAGTGTAGAAAAGTTCGATGTTTCCAATGCATTACGACTTCGCCAATAGCACTTTTCCCTAGCCCAATAATAAATATCTTTATTGATACTAAAAAATCAGAGTTTGTAAGAAATTCGTTGTTATCCATTAGAAAAATGAAACCTTCCATGCATTACTGCACCTTTCACGAAAATCGAGGCTAGGACTTGGCAAGTATAATGTTTAGTCGCATGTTAGTATTAGGAAGAAGCCTAAATTGGCCTAATTTCATATGGCATTACAGAAAATCGCTTTTTATAGGTTGAGAGGCAAACGGCTTTTCGCCCTATTCAGTCAACTGTTGGAGGAGGCGAGTTTTCCGGAATCACTACAAACAAATCAGATTTCGACCGAAAACAGGCAAGAATTATATCTAACTTTGACTTACAGGCAAATCACCGGAACTTCCGCAGAACAAGCCAAATTTGCAGAACTTCCGCAGGACTTTGTTCACTATTGCAAAAATGAAAACGATGAAAATTGGAACTTCTGCGGGATTTTCGTGCCAAACTGGTTGAAAACCGAAACTTCCGCAGAACCTTCTTCAAAATCCTGCGGAAATTCCGAAAAATGCCAGAGATTCCGCAGCACTTTGGACTGCCAGAACTTCCGCAGGACTTTGAATGTGTTCTTTCGTGATGTTGCCTCGTCAACAACTAGAGTGCATTATCGAACATGTCAGCCGTAGCGCAGAGGATAGTGGGTGGGTCTCACAGTGAATAGAGTGAGGTTCAAATCTCGCTCCGGTGTCCTCTTTTGCTGTTGGGTTGGCATTCTTCGGAACTTCCGCAGGACTTCATTTCGGGACTTCCGCAGCACGTTTACGGAACTTCCGCAGCTGACCCGGCGGAACTTCCGCAAGCGCTCTGCGGAAGTTCCGGTGATTTGTCTGATTAACTCTTTTCACCATGCTTCCATCTGTTTGTTGCAGGTCCAACGACAACTGGCAATTCGCCCAGCTGAAGCTTCATATGGTGGCGGCGAGTTTTTGGGAAATACCACGAACAAGGTGGATTACGATAGAAAGGAGGTGTGTCTGACAAGGGAAGTTCGCCGAATCGAAATGGCCGATTGATACGTGGTATATACCCGGACGCGGGGCTCGGAAGGTTAGTATCAAATGTGCGCCCATTAGCTGCGACGCATTATTGTGAAGCAAGTTATGGCCCTCTGAAATTTTTGGCGTGTGCATGTCTAGAGAACGCACAAATGCTCTGATTGTGGTCGTGTGGTGTAGTGGTTAGCGTCTCGGACTCACAGGTGACCGGTGAAGGTTCGAATACTGTTGCTGTCCACATGTTTTGCGTTCTTCTCAAAAATCATTTTTTACCTGTTTTATGTATCATTGAGGTAAAAAATGACACACACGAGTTACGGAATGATTTTTCTCACGAAAATTCGACCAATGCTTCATATTTAAGATTTTCGTAGAACATAGCAACGACTTTTTAGCGACGGCTTTTCGATTGACTTTGAAGATTTGCCAAATCCTCACTCCCACATACTTTCTTCGATTGCATAGTATTTACGTGACAATCTACAAGTTGTATCACGTCGTACTATTAATTCTTGTTAATGGGCTACCTTGTGAGAATGACACGGCAGGATGTATAAATAGTAGAGTTTAACCACCCGTATGTGTCATTTTTTACGTCAAAATGCATAAAACAGGTAAAAAATGAATTTTGAGAAGAACGCAAAACATGTGGACAGCAACAGGACTCGAACCCTCACCGGTCACCTGTGAGTCCGAGGCGCTAACCACTACACCACACGACCACAATCAGAGCATTTGTGCGTACTCTAGACACGCACACGCCAAAAACTTCAGAGGGCCATAACATGCTTCACAATAACGCGTCGCAGCTAATGGGCGCACATTTGATACTAACCTCCCGAGCCCCGCGTCCGGGTGTATACCACGTATCAATCGGCCATTTCGATTCGGCGAACTTCCCTTGTGAGTCTAATTCTTAGTCTCTTCAATTACATCTCATAACAGGTTCAAAGACAGTCAGCAATTCGTCCTGCCGAAGCCTCTTACGGCGGCGGCGAGTTTTTAGGAAATACCACGAACAAGGTCGATTATGATAGGAAGGAAGTAAGACTAGCGCTTTTTTGCTTTGGCTCATTACATTATAATTACACTCTACTGCAGGTTCAAAGGCAGTCAGCAATTCGTCCTGCAGAATCACCTAACGGTGGCGGGGAGTTCATGGGAGATACCACAAACAAAGTTGATTACGATAAAAAGGAGGTGAGACCTTATAAATCAGTAATCAGTTCAGCCTAATGTTTTTGCGCTGCCAACAACATCTTCGCGTCAAGCTGCGTTTAGAGTCGTCCTTGCCAGCAAAGTGACAGCAGCGCTCCAGCGCTGTGCTAGCGCCGTGCGGGGACACTTCGATTGCCCATTGGTTGATGGTTGGCACGCTAGAACGGCACTAGCAAATGGACACCTCTGAACGCTATCTGGGGCAATGTGCTCTGAGGCCATCATCGCGCAATCGCAAATAACATGTCAACAGTGAATAGCATGACAGCTTCCGCGCAAATATTGTCGTCACCGCAGATACACTATATTCCGTCTAAAGGTCGGGCTTACATCGCGCGACTCCATTGCCTCGCGATTCTCCCGACAAAAGAACTGTTACGAGTCTATTGCATGCCGACCATCTTGCATTTCGGTTGTGATATAGGCGTTTCCCATGCGTATAGCGGGCGTGGCCTGCAGACATTTGAACACGTTGAAAAACTTGTTGAACCCCCACTTTCTCAGACAAATGACCGGAACTTCCGCAGAGCGCAAGCGGAAGTTCCGTCGGGTCACCTGCAGAAGTTCCGTAAATGTGCTGCGGAAGTTCCGAAATGAGGTCCTGCGGAAGATTCGAAGAATGCCAACCACAACAGCAAAAGAGAACACCTAAGTGAGATTTGAACCTTACTCTATTGACTGTGAGACTCGCCTACTATCCTCTGCACTATGAATGACATGTTGCATAATGCACTCTAATTGTTGGCGAGGCAACATCATACAAGACATCACAGTCAAAGTCCTGCGGAAGTTCTGGCAGGCCAAAGTGCTGCGGAAACTCTGGCAATTTTCGGAATTTCCGCAGGATTTTGAAGAAGGTGCTGCGGAAGTTCCGGTTTTCAACAAGTTTGGCATGGAAATCCCGCGGAAGTTCCGATTTTCAACGTTTTCAATTGTGCAATAGTTAACAAAGTCCTGCGGAACTTCTGCAAATTTGTCTTGTCCTGCGGAAGTTCCGGTGATTTATCTGAGTTAGAGCATTGGTTTTTGTAATCTCTAGCTATCAAGAACTGACACTCACATACGTAGGCAAACGTCGGCAAAGCTCCTCCCGCTATACTGTGAGGAATAGACGATAGTTAGTCCCGATTGGTCGAGCTCGAAAACTATCACAACCGAAACGCAAGATGTGCGGCATGCAGTGATGTTGTAACAGTTGTCTTGTAGGGAGAATCGCGAACCGATGAAATCGCGTGATGTATGCCCGGCCCTTAAGCCTAGGGTTCGTATTCATTCAGCATTTGACGAATTTAGGGAGTGCGTCAAAAAGCATTCCGTCCCGTCGTCACTACTATTCAGTCAGGACAATTTGATGGAGTTACTACAAACAAGGCGGATTTCGATAAAAAGCAGGTAAGTAACCGTGTAACTTCATGAAACAGCGCTATCCGCATTTTGTAAAGATGCTGAATATTTTTCGTACTCAGACATGCACCATTCTCTTAACTTATAGGCGGTGCGAAGCTCGCCAATTCGTCCCGTGGAAGTATCATTTCGTATGGATGGTCCGATAGACGGTCTGACAACAACACAGAATGACTTCCAGGCCAAGAAAGTGAACAAGTAAGTTCCGTTAAGTAAGCGTTGCTTAAGCGTTCAGGTTGCTTGAGGATCCACACTGTAACAAAGCCTTGTCGGAACGCGGTAACGCAAGCAACCAAAAGCCGAGTTGGTGTCCAACTACCATAATGCGTGATATGCACTTTTTGATATTTAGCGCAAACAGTATGTGGAGCAGCTGATAGCTGATAAAGAACCGTAAAGGCAGCGTAAAGGTTTCGGTCTTTTGTTTTGCTCCCATGGACTTTGGGCTTGCATACCGAGGCTGCATCCAGTGTACCCGTGTTGGCACCGTGCCAATAGCGTGCTGGGCCTCGCCAGCGTTACGAGACTGTGCCTGCAAGATTCGAACAGTACGCAGCACTCGAACATGGGTCTTGTATAGCGCTGCTATGGTACTGGTACAGCGCTGGCACGGTGCTGGCACGGCGCAGAAATTAGGGAATTCAGGGCGCAACTTGAAAGACAGCTTTAACGTCTATTACATAGAAAACATAGAACTGTTTTCAAATTCTTGATTGCTCACTCTGTTGGCGCGCATGTGGTAGACAGCCGGTCATCGCGATTAGAGTATGTCCGCTTACTTGACCAATGCTTGATTGTTAGGTTGAAATGTATTGAAAAAGAAAAAAAGAGATCTCCTTGCGAATTTTCATACTCTTCAGAGTTCAAGCCATTCGACCTCGAAGCAACCCGCTGGTCCGCGGGCAACCATTCGAAGGCCATTCAACATACCAAGATGGCTATGTCCCAAAAGAAGGTAAGATTTAGTGCTAGAATAGCGATGCTTAATAACTCACGAAGTTTTTTATGCAGTAACCAACACATTGAAAAAGGACGTTTAGTCAATCGACAACGTTCAATGCGCCCCTCAGAGCACAATTATGCGTCAACCAGTCCCTTCGAGGGCAAATCAACGCAGAAAGTTGACTTTACCGCAAAAAGGGTTGATATTTGTCCAGCCGAGAAAGTGCTGACGAGAAGGTAATAGAAATTTGGCGGTACATTTAAAACGATAAGATTTTTTCAGGGACAAATCCTATGAGTTTTCCAAGACGCGAAACGGACACAACTTCTACCATCATCGAGTCACTCATGCAAATCGAGCTTACAGTTCGCTTGTTCCTGTGGCATAAAGACAAACAAAGCTACAAGTCTGACCTAATAAAAATAAAAACCAACAGAAGGATACACTGAAAAATAAATATGTTAGATACTGAATCAAGCAGAAAACCAGCAATGTTTTTGTGTTTATTATTCTGTAAAAATTTCCTTAAATAGCCACACTGTTTGGAATCTGATTCTCTTGAATATAGGCGGCATAAATAAATGGGAAAAAAGGCATAAAGTGCAAAGCGACGAGCATCTAATAAATCTTTCAAGAAGTTACTGATTAAGTTCAAAAAATGCTGCAAAGAAATCTATAATCACAAAAGAGCGGATGTTCATCCATACCTGAATAGAGAAGTTTACCCATAATGTGCAATCAAGATGTTTGAAAAACGCACAAAAGACGACAAATCTTAAGACAATGTTTGATTGGATAACAGCTTGCTGATGGCGAATGTAGTTTTTTTGGCTCATTATTTCAGACTAAACGGGCTGAACTCTAGTTCGGTCAAACATCATGAAATTTGAACCAGCACTAGAGTTGGAGTTTTCTGTCCGCCCGTGCCAGCTCTGTGCTGGCGCCGTGCCATATCCATGAAGCACGGCTTACTGATCGCTTGACATTGCCGGCAGAGTTCCGGCACTTCGATAGCCCTGACATAAACACGTTTGGGTCAGAGGCAACTTCCCTTAAACTGAGGGTGATGAGATTCCAGTGGTATACGATAGCGGCCCCCTCCTGACTGAGCACTCTTAAACATCTCGCTGCATTTAATTTTGAAGCGATAAAACTCTACAGAAGATACAAGCGGGTAGCTAGCTTCGGCCATCAACATGGATGGCTTGAAGTAAGTGCGAATTTGGGCTTCACGGTAGACAAAAAAGCCTCAGATTTGATGATCATAATGATGGGCCTCGATCTACGGCAGTTCTGATTACAAGTTTGGACTTTTCATCTTCAGACCACATAGGTTGATGGGAGGAGAGAGCGTGGCCGTTTCTTTCTTCTTGTGCTTGGTTTTCGAGATTGGAATTCATCTTCTGCAGGGAGACTTAGGGAAACTGCTTACTCAGACAGTCGATGGGATACCTCCGAGCAGAAGTGGCAGGGTCGCGGGCTTTCCCTAGTGGAGGATTGCCACTTCGAGCTCCGTAGCCCTGCCATTTCACGCATTTTTGTGCTCCGGGGCTCTCTCAAAAGTGACGCACCTCCGGAGCAGAGATCTGCGCGTTGCGGAGAGGGGTCCCATTCATTCACATTTCTTTCCATTCATTTTTTTGGGAGAGCCCCGGAGCACAAAATTGCGTGAAATGGCAGGGCTCCGGAGCGCGAATTGGCAGACTCGTGCCATATGCCCGCCGGAGGTATCCCTTCGGCTGTCTGAGTAGATAGAGGTCCCGCTGCTACATCAAGATCTCGTTACCATCAATTTGGGAGGATTGCCCCTTTGAGCAGGCCTTTGTCCTGGATTTCGATGGGCATCCTGCCAGAAAGAAAGAAGCGATTGAGCGAGCGCAAAAATTAACAGAATTCTATGAAGCTCAAAGGACGCAGAGAGGATCCCGTTCGAAATCGTCTCTTTGTACACCAAGAGAAAAGGTTCGGCAGGAGCATCGGTACTGTATCAAGGTAAGACCATGGACTCTAAGTTTCACATCTCTGTACATCCCACGGTTTGCAGAGTCGCGGGGTGAATATTAAAACTTTGCAAAAATTTTTCTCGAACCAAGCCCGTTTCTCTAGTTTTGAGCTAAGAAAGTTGAACTTCATACTATTATGTGGAAGCTATATGGAAAGCTTCTATAGAGGAGCTTCACTATGGCTCAGCTGAGAGCATTACCCTGTGATTAGAGCCACATGCCACACTTTATTCAACTTCATTAAGCACACCTCTTCATTCTTGTTAGGAACTGCAAACGTTATACAGAAAACGTCTTTATTAGACGGCTAAACCGTAACAGATTCCTATTCTTTGACGGATTCGGTGGTGGCTGAGAAATCGAATTTACTCCATATCCCACAAATAAGAAACACAATGAACAGAGCGACGACGAATATGAATGCTACCACTGAAAAAAAGATCAAATTTTGTTGGTTCTACTTTCAAACTAAAAAGAAACCAACCCAGAGATGCACAACAAAGAACGCCTTCAATTCGCAGGAGATAGTTCTGAGATTCATAGCGGTCCTTTCTTCTCTTTCTCTTGTACTTCGACTTCTTCTTCTTCTTCTTCCGCTTACCAGAGGATGTTGAAGCGCTCTATATTAGTCATTTGGTGCAATTACATAATTTCCAGTGGTACCAGCCCGTTCTAGCACCGTGACAGCGCCGTGGAGCTCTTCGATCAATCAATACTGGGCCGCTCCGCGTAGGGCGGTGGCTAGCTGGCTGGCACGGCGCTGGCACGGCTCAGGAACGGACATATCTAAACGCTGCTTTAGGCTTTTCCTGGCCATGGCAAACCTACCGTAGAAGATCCACCGCCAGTTGCCCTGTCCGCCTCTTGCTTTTTTTGTAATCCACTAATTAGATCCATCATTGCCGAGCCCGTGGCCTTGTTGTTTCCTGCGGCTGTTTCAGCGTTCGTGTCTCTGTAACCATAGACAGAAGTTATTCACACATATGCATAATCACTGCTCCGAGGCTTCTCACGTGAATGAGACTGGTTCATCTTCTTTGGGCATCTTACAATACCTGAAATGCTACTTGATAGCATATGCTCAAAGCTCGAGAGGCCAAGTGCCTACAGACCAATCCGACCAGAGCCACCGTAGGAAGGTAAAGTAGTACGAATGGGTAACACTCCATTCCCTGAGCTTAGTTTACTCATATTCTTGTTTATGACTCTCTGCTGCTGAGAGTTCATTTCAGTAAATTTGATTTGTATGGGTTGGTAGAGTTCATCCTCTCCATACTTTAGAAGATGCTCGGTGGAATGTCAGAAGAGGGAAAGTGACTTTCACAAGCTCGCACGAACTTGAATAAAATTGATCCTTTAATAAGCAGTACAACAACTCAAGCATTGTAAATGAAACGTAAATAAATAAATTATGCTTACTACTGAGTGGCAGTCCTAGGATTTCGCTCGGGGAGGGGATGAGGGGGACACAACAAAACTTTTTTCGAATAAAAGTGCGTGGTTTTCCGCAAGAAATTTTTTTATAGTGCATGTAAGCAACTTTCACAAGAAATTCGCTAGCTCAACCCCTTTCCTCGAAAAAACGCACACACTGCAACCAAAGATTTTTGGAAGATGGTAGCGTTTTATAAAGCTTTTCATCTTTCTTCTGATTATTATGCTTCCGCAGTTCAACCAACGAGCTCCTAGAAGTTTCCATGGTCAAGTTTTATGTTTCCTTGTAGTACTGGCTTCGCGAAGGCGTCCAAGCTACCGTTGGGTAAAAAAGCGCAATAGAACAAAAGCCTTATTGAAGATTTTTCCATGCTCAGTTTTGCAAATTTTTGAGCGCCTTATTTTCAGGTGTATAAGCCGCACCCTTTTCACTCTAAAGGCTAACACGCCAAAAGACTGACTGTCATCATGGAGCGCGTTAAGTGAGAGCAGTTTGCGATAAAGCGACCGCTTCGCGAGACATATGCGCGGCGGCACGCCTGGGTCTGCTCGCGTTTAGAGCAAAAAGGTTGCGGCTTATACATCTGAAAGTAGGGTAATGACATGTTGCGCTAAATGAAGAATAAATGACTGCATTTCAATCCCTGAGCCTTGTTTTTGAGTTTTCGCGCTTGGGTATCATTGAAACTCGAGATAAGCAATATTGTCAAATTTTCATTCGCTTCAAAAAGTGTGGCTTTTGATGTGTTGGATGCACCATGGACTATTGGACTGAAATTGGAAATGATTACCCAGAAGGCTGAAAAAAAATTAAAGTACATTGTTAAGTTTGCTCTAGGCCAAAGCGAAGTCTTTAGCCATGTTTTGATTGTTGCTGAAGGTTTACGAAATTCGTAAAATAGTGGAATCTAGGCGTTGTAATGGTTGTCAATATCCCATCCTACTCCGTAAAGCTTTTAGATACCAGTTTGATACATAATCGTTAAAATGATGCCATCTTGATACATAATCGTTGAAATGAAAATGTAAAGAGTTGATTGATACTCAGCGATTTGATATTGTATGGAGTTGCGCGCAATATATCATGTTCTAATGATTATGAGGAAGGGGTTTCTCGAAGATAAAGGGAGCAAGAATATTTTTTTCATTTATAAAATAATCTCCGCAGGAACTTTTCCATTCTTTGACCGTTTCTTGTCCAGAACTTTGCGTCATCTCATACGGAAGGAAAAAGCACACATCGATAGAAAAAAAGGTTAAGGAACACATTGGCAATGCTTGTTCCTAGACCTGCGACTGACGTAATGCGGAAGTTCGCCCCCACTTGCGCATAAACGACTTACTAAAATTCACTTCATCGTTTTTTAGTACTCGACTACATAGATTTTTTTTGTTCAAGAATCTCCGATTGTCATTTTTATGTCTTTCACCAAATGAATTTCTGGTGCGTGAGTATCTAGCCAACGACATATCAAATCGAAACTATTTTTTTACCAATTATTCTGCTTTTTTGCAATCATTATGGCGACACTGTGACACTTCAAGCCAAGATGTTTGCTTGGGAACGTTGTGAATTTTTGTTAAGTTGTCGCCGACCAGGTTTATATATACATAAACATCAAATTAAATGCAAGAATTTACAATCACGTAGATGAATTTGTACTATGAAAAGGGTGTTTCATTTACTTGGAACGATCTCTTCTATTTATTCTCATAAACATGATTCGCAGTGGTTTACTGTAAAAAGCTAAAGTTCAGAAGCTTTCCAAAAGCTCCCTTTCTATCGCGCGCTCTCTCTTTCGATTCAAAGCATCTTTCGTGTTTTCCAAAACGCCGAGCAGATTTTTGAGCGGAAGAAAAAAAAAGCATGAGAAAGAGGGAGTGCCTCAAGCTAGGATTGCATCTCATTATTGTGTGATTTACGGTCTATAACTCCACTGATCCCTTTCAAAATCTTTTTAAAACTAGGTTTTTATCAGTATTTTACAATGTTCAAATATTTTTTAAATGACCGCTTTTACAGCACAGAGAATACAGCTTATCGAATTAGAGCTAAGTAGTAAAAATTCAAAAAATCTCAGATTTGGCTAAACGGTTCGATTTTCGGTAGATTCAGAAGCATTCAGCTCAGAACCACTGCGACAAGTTGCTTGTCGTATTTTAATTCATTCACTAGTCCATTTTTTGCGCTTGATTTGATATAGAAAAATCATACTAAGTAAGGGCTTCTGGATATGATGAATAATTCATCGCAATCAATGAAAAGCTTAATATTGAGAGACTGGGATTTCAAAAATGTTGAAAAAACTGCTCCACAAATATTACTAGCAGAGATGACTATTCTTTCAAGTGAACTCAGTTCATTTGAGATTTCATATGCTCACTGATGGATTATGCACATTTCCTCACTGTAAGAGAACCGTTTGCGATACCTTAATAGTGTTTGTGTCTAGATGAATTTTTGAGCCGCGATTAGGCAACGCAGGCGAGTACAAAAAATTATAGATATGGGATTTCTCTTAACTTTGATATCTGCAGCTGTAGTCAGTAATTTGGTAGGTAGTGATGTGCGCTTTGTCAAGCTCACTCGCTTAGAATGGAAGAAAACGACCATGCACTCAGTTTAGAACACATCTTCACTACACGCGAGCACACCCTAGTCTACGTCGAATATTCCTCGCTTTAAGCTATGGTTGCTAGAAAGGAAGTAAGCGAACGTTGTACAGTCATCCTTTTAAATGTTATTGCATGGTTTGGGTGTTGGAAGTGCTCTCAAGAACTACTTGCGCATTTCGTTGCCATAAAATTTATTAGGTTCAAAAACCAGTGGCGTACCGAAAGGAGGGGGGGGGGGGGGAGGGGAGGGGCATTACAAGCCCTCGAAAATTTGGGGAAGCATACCAAACATTTTTTCGGGGTGAGTGGCTAACGCCAGACCTTCATCGGAAAAATTCTTGTCGCCCTCCCCCCTCCCCGCCCCCCCTTCCCCCGCGGAAATCCTAGGTACGCCAATGTTCGAAATCTATATCATACCGCTCAGTAGGCAATAACACATGATGTAGAATGGGTATGTCTAACCAGGTTTTATCCTAAGCTAATTTAGGTGTAAAGATTCACAGATTCTTGTCTTGGGAGATGAAAGCAAAATTTGTGGTAGCGGAAGTTGCCTTGCCTTCAGCTTTTCACCCTTTGCTATTGTTTGAATTCACGCGTACGACGTATCATTTTCTTCGTTTCACCTCGGCACCGCGCCTCGCGTCAGCCTCCGTTGTCTGCGTCGCTCGGACCAGTTCCAGCTGTCGGCTAACGTCAATTGCGCAAGAATCTCGCGACGTATGGAACGAGTTCACGACCACGTATGCTTCACACATTGCTTATGTATACCGCATAGAACGTAGCGCAATTCTCATATTCAACCCTGTCTCGACTGCAGCGGTTTTTAGAGGGTTGTCTGAGCTCAAATGCCAGCAAGTGCAGCCGTTCTTACACTCTAGCTTCACGCGCGATGACCCATTTCACTCGCAGCCTGGGCACTAAATACTAGTTGGTGCTTGGCGCCCAAACCATTCGATTTATTGGGTCAAACTTATATCCTTTCATTCTTCATTGATTGTTTACCTCCAAAATGCTTCTTGCGTAAAACTTGTTGATGTTTGCAGCTGTGGTTCGTGCAAATATAACGCCTCTGCAAGTTGCCGCCTTGCACACAGTTTACTCAAAAACTATCTCTACCTGCTAATTTGATTCGGAACACTTTGCTTCGGGTTTCTTTTCTTGCCGTTGAATATATCATTCATTTGACTGTATGCAGTTTTAGTTTGGGGAGAGTTGTCAGCTAATTTCCATCTCAATTTTTCCAAATTGCTTCTACTTCGATACTGAGTTTTAGAGCACTTTCAGTTTTTAATCGCTATTTGATTAAGATGCTTACTTTCAAAAATGTCAGTACTCGCTTTTCAAGCATGCGTCGAAACTCCTCTCTCGAAATCGTGGTTCTAAACGAAAAAATACAATGTTAAGTCACCCTTCGTCAAGGGCGAAGGTAATACTCCAAGTATTTACTTCTTCAGGAATATCAAGTTTACTTTCTTTCGTCACGAGAAAGATAAAAAGAAAAAGTATATGATTTCCGTTTCGACCCTTCCTTTTTTACGGAATTCTGTTTCTAGATGTTCCAATGAATTCTTTAACTACTCAATTTTTAATTCTCAATTTTTTCATTTTTAATCACTTGCTCTTTTAGATTTAACTACTTCGCTGAGAAATCCAAACTGTATGGTAAAGTATTTTCATTTGTAATGTGAGCGTGAATCATCCACTTGGAAAATTCTTTGCAACCGAACTAACTTCTACCAACTTCTACTTCTACTTCTAACTTCTAACTTACTAACTTCTCTGCTTCTTTTTACGATACATATCCTCTTTCATGATAATCAGAAACAAATGGAAATGTCCAAGATTAGATTTAAAAGAGGCTACTTCAATCTAAAAACCTTCAGCGTTTTGTACAAGAAAATGTGTGCTATTTTGTTTTTATTTTGTAATCTGTGCTATTGGGCTATTCTATGAATCCGGTTCTTGAAGATTCAATTTCACTACGATTTTTATATGCTCAGCTGGTGAGGAATGCCTGCTCCGAGATGCAAAAGAAGGCACCGATATATGTTTATAATTTATTCTGCCGTTCGACTTGCTCATTTCAGCTGTCCTCATAATTTTTGTTCCATAGCAGTATCGTCATCACTTTAACTCAAGAAATTGAAGTAAATCGATCATCTGCTACCCGTACGTACAATTTTCCCACCGTTAGTACTCTTCACCTCCAAAAGGCAGTAGTTCCCGTTGGATCGATCGAGTTTCCTCTAGCGCGAACTGGTTCCTTCAGCGATTTTCTTCAGATCGCTGCAGCCGTCATTTTCTACCTATTATGTTTAGTCCGTAATTCGAATATGGGAATCAAATTTGATTTCCGACTCGAATCTTTATTTGGCAGTCAGTGCATATTACTTTGCGTTCTATCATTTTATCGATTTATTTTCCCAAATATCATGCCATTTTTCTCGTATTTGTTGTGAATTTTTCAAGAGAGCCCCAAAGTTTTTTCTAACTATTTCAAAAGTAACATAAATACGCTGTTCTATACTAAAGTTAAATTTCAAGCAGCTATATGTCACTAAACAGTACTTGGTTTGGAAATCATGCCAAAAATAAAAATGTTCCATGCTTGAGGAATGACGCATTACCTACTTTGTGCTATGTTAACTGCTTAAAGTCTCTACTTTTCTTGATTATTCGCTTCAGAAGTCTTTTAAAAAATCTCTTTTCTACAAAACTAAGCTGACTATTATCTCTAGCTTCAAAGAAAGTATTACACATTGTTTCTAAACTTATACTCAGCCTCACTAACCTATTTAGCTCTGTTCCTGAGTTGTTAACTTACTTCTGATTCATAACGAGGTCGCTGGTATTTCCTGATCTTCCTCACCATTTATGTATTTTCACAAAAAAGCAGCCAAAAATTTTCTCGCTTTCCCTTGTTTTCACTCTGTCATTTTCATGACATCTTGTGAACCAAATAGCTTTATTATTCGTGATTCTCTGTTGTTCTGTTTCTTTTGATTGTTACATGTTCATATTTCTACTTTGTATTTCTCCAGAGCGTTTACATTCACGTGCGTGCCCTTTGATAAAATTGCCTTACCCTGTTTGGCTCTGTTTTTGCCAGGGATCCTGCTTTGCTCAACTTTTCTAACTTAATACATTATAGACTTGTATATTTGGCTATTGTGATTTTCGCTCAAAATCTTTGGATGTGTTTGAGTTCTTCTCGGTCCCTATGGCGTTTTTTATCAACAAAAAGAAGTCTTCTTAAGGTCGTACAAAACATACTACTTGCGTGTGAACCACAGATCCCACCACGAAAATCTATCACTTTTTCTCCTATCGATGAATTTGGAAGAATATGTAGGATTGCTCTGAAAGTGCTGTCCTCAAAAATTCCATAACTTTTCGGCATCTCAAAAAATGGCTAAGACTATTAAGCCAAATAGGGAAAACCTTTTTTTGCTCTTGTCTGTTTCTTTTTCATAAGGGCATCCCTATGCACAAATAAATAAATAAACTGAATAAAACAATGTGCTTTGCAAACAACGCCTTGTCGGCTGTCTTCAATGTACTGATACAGAAAAAAAATAAAAGAGGAAGATCAATGGGTTCAAAAACTATGATGATATTACTTAGCTAGTGACTTGTTAAAGAAAAAGTCTGCTCTGTAGTCCTAGTAATAGATATTTTTTCAGTCAAAAACGGGATTATTCTGACTTCTTTTACATCTTTATGAGACGTTTGTTTCGCATAAATTCGCTCGCATATCCCAAACCTATGTCGCAAAACCTAAATAAGTCTACGTAGTTTCGATTCATGCAACATCAGACTTCTGGGGACTATAAAACAACCAAAGCTTGCTTCTTCCATTTTTTATCTTTGGAATCGGTGTGCGATAGACCGTCGAGGTGCCATTGGCAGCACATGTTTTTTTTCTTCCTGAGGAAATCAGCAACATTCTAATCCTTTGAGAAGCGAAAAATCATAAATCAATAGGAAGGATAAGGACCCAGTTTATGCCTTATTTCTTGCACAACGGTGACTGACGAAATGAAAGATTTTTTGATACAAAGCTTAATTATTTGCTTCCAGACCTATTTTTGAAGTGAACGAATAGAATAGAAGCGTCGTTTCTGATTTGGATTTGCTAATTGTATGGTTATACTCAACTACTATACTTTCACCTGCGATTTTTACTGGTGACTGCATATAGGCCCGTAGTAAACCCCCCATCCGGGCATCTCTCTCGACGCGGACAGGAGTTGAGGTCATCGCGCTTCAGTCCAGCATCCAGTGAGCTATTGATTTGGATGTGGATCGCCTCCTAGACATGATAACCACATGTGTTCTCAAAAAACCAACCACTTGAGCTGGTCTGGTCAAACGGATAAGCGATTGGAATCACACGCGCGCGGTCGTGGTTCGACACCTGCTAGCGCCACAACTTTTGCTGCATCGCCGGACAATCTTTGATAGCGGCCACTGTCGAAAAAAATCGATGATGACCGCTAACAAGGATATCACTTAGCAAATGGACAGATAAAACAAAACTGACATATTTTGACGGAGAATTCATGAAAAACTGAAATTTTTGGAACATAAATAAAACGTAATAAATAAGTAGATTCTCTTCTAAAGTAGTTTTTACAAGAAACTAAGATTGCTCTGCAAAAAAAAAGAAGAAAACTTTTATCCTTGCTTTTGTCGCCAAAATCAGCTGTTCATCGATCCTTCCCTTTTCGGGCGCCGGTATTGTGCGGTTTTGCGCCGATTTTTTCTGCATTTTTTGGCAAAGTTGTGTGTATCGTAAGTTACTCAGGAGCAACTTATGTTAGATGCAGTCACCTCTTGTCTGCGTCTCCTCTTCTACACACTATTTGGATCACTCTAACATCCGCTCACGTAGAGGTGACTTGAACGTGAACTGATGTGGAAGAGTTGACTGCGGCAGGTGGACAGATGGTCAACTATCAGTTGACTTGACCATCTTATAGCATGGGAACGTGGACGGTGATCAGTTCACCTCACCTAAGGTGAACTGATGGGATAAGTTGAGTTCACCTCAACTGATCGAGCTTTACTACGGGCCATAATATCAATGCATTAATATTAATGATCCATAACGAAGCACGTTTTTGTCACCTCTTTTTCAAGCGTGGTTCTTCGAGGAAACTGATTCTTCCCAAAAACTCAATGCTATTTAAAAAAGCGTTTCTTCCAGTTTTTTATGCATGCTTTTTTTCGTAGCGCTTTTTATGATACCAGGTTCCACGCTTTCCTATATGAAAGACTAAAACTTGAAATTCTTTCCTTTTATTCATGAGATCAACCATGCTAATTTCGAAAAATATACTTAACATTTGCGAAGCTTTCTGCTGTAGAATCCTTTTGAGTAAAATTTTGCAAAAATTCTGAGACGAGAAATTTAACCACAAACTTTACCAATCATTGTGGCCCTTCAATGTCGTATAAAATTTCCATGCAAGAACACATTGCTGTGATTTTGCCTTGCACACAAAGAGTAGACATAGCACAATGAGTGATAGGAAAAGGTGAGGTTTTCAGTGGCAAAATATTTTAAATTTCCCAAGAAGGACAATTTTTCGTTTCTTCAAAGAACGAGAAAAGTGATTACTTTCGATTTTTTGCAGTATTCCTCGTAAATTCCGTATCCGTAAAATCCGTAAAACCCGGGTTGTGAGCAAAGCTTGCGCTTTCCTACTACCTTTGAAAGTAAGTTATGCTTTCTTCAAATAGAGGTCTGTAAAAAAAATCATGGCATTTTTTGGATTGTACAAACTTTCTCGCAATTATTATACATACACAAAAATATGTATTGTAAAGCGAAAAATTTGCTCTACAGTCCTAGTCCTTGATGCTCTTGAAATGACTTGGGAAGAGAATGACTTTCATAAAACGTGCATCAATTAGGAATTAACCTAATATGTTGACAAATTTGAGAAGCGCTCTATTTTGGGCAAGCGTTTTCGTACACTTTGGTATTTTTAGCAAATTTCAAATAGCAACCGAAATTTACTCAAGAAGAACACTCATCGCGAACTCGTTCTCGTAACGAGGGCATCACTTCTAAACATTTTCACAACGCTTGAGCTTAAGATCCTGTTCACAAAGTGTTGCGCTGGCCTACATTGCTTATGATCGTTTTTAACAAGGGTTCCCCTTCCATACTTTCAAGAGCCATCCAATCGTTTATTACGGGTATATGTCAAGATGAACGATAGCTGGTACTAGTGGCGCGCGGGGTCATGAACTGGCAATAACGTGTTCGCTCGAAGCTCCGCCCTACTGCAGCGGACGAGTTTCTCGGACGATACCGTCAAGTAAAAATAACTTTTGATGGTGAGATACAAGCTTGTTGCAAGCTGCGGTGAAGCTTGACTATTTGCAGAATTTGTTTTGATTTTCTTTTCTTTTTTGGCAATCAATGAATAGCTGATGTGTTGATCGTGAAATTCGATAGATTTGCTGATTTACCTATGAATGACCGAGTGACTCCTGGATATCCAACTTTGAAGTGTGAAATCAATCTAGAACACCTCAGGCATGATTGTCTGAGTGACCTCACATCTTATGACTAGTTCGCACGCAATTTCGATTTAGTTACAGATCGATTTATATTGAGGATAGCAGTTTTTGGAAGCAAATTGAAAGAATTTTGTTATTCAAAGCAGATTCGAAAATATTTAAGTGCAGTATGATTGTCCTGAAATCTGAGAAAATTTATGTGATATGACCGCATATTTGCAAAACGAGTTAGTTTGCTCAAAACAAAATTCGCCTATAATGCTTGTTTTGAATTCTCGTCGCAATAAAATCTGTTTTTAGCTATGATTAGGGTTTTGTAACTTACTTAGTTTTTGAGCTAAACTTGAGAGTGCACAACAAAGCATATTCAATATGCTAACAAATATGAGTGGAGAAAAGCACTTTTCAAGCATTTTCGAAACAATTTTCTCATACCTGCAATGAAAATCATTTTGAACAAGCCTACTAGGAACAAATAATTGAAATACATTAAAAAGAGCTTGCGAACTAATCTATAATGGAAAATGATCTGAAAACTGATTTTCAGTTTAATTGAAATTTTAAAATCTACTGTTACCCAAATTGCAACCAACTGCAGAAGCATGAACGAAGTATTAGAGAGTTTTCCAATAGCGCAACGCATTCCTAGGCTAATTAACAAGGGGGCGGAGCGATCAGCGCACCGCGTACAGTACCCAGCTGGCGGCTGGTACATGCTATCGTTCATCTTGACCGCCACCCGTTTATTACGCCTGACTCCTTCGGCGGTGACTGCGCTCTTGGGATTGGTTCCTGTAACACCGGCTTTTTAGCGACAAAAAAATTATAGTGCAGCTATGTCTTCTATTGCCTGTTTCCCAAGGCGAGACAAGACAATTACATATTGGGGCTCTATGCAATAATTTATATCAAAATGAGTATAATTTTGTGGGATTTGCTTAGCTAGTGAGTCAAAGTTTCATATTTCCTCCTTCAACTGATATGATTATAAGACCTAAACTCACAAAAAACCCTACATAAGGCCATCACGTCTCAGTGGTAATTTTTTGTCAATGTGTGCTACTGCAACTTTTCCAGGAAAACGTCAACTATGGAGCTCAAAAATTGTTTTTGTGTTTCTGACTGCCTGTGGTATATATGGTCCATTCTTAAAATCGTGACGATGAGTTTGACTGCGGTCTTTGCGCACACTGGAGCATATAACACCCATAAAAACAGACATCACTCAAGGACCAGCTCAGTTACTTCCAGTGTCTGATTAGGATTATATGTAAGCAGAAAAACCATTTGAGTAAAGACAGAAACCAAGAAATAGAAGTGCGTGCGTGTCGCGCGCGGTTGCGCCATCGTCACGATTTATCAAATGCCCTATACCGTCATGGTAGCGTGGGCGAAAGTTGTGCAACTGCACAATTTGGCGAAAACCTATTTGATGACCTGAGCTGCACTGAAAGATAATATTTTTTATGAACTATCTTGAGAAATGGATGGTTCCAAACACTTCATACCACTAAAAAGCATCCTTTGACTTGATTCATTCTGCTTAGTGTTTTATCCTCGGTATCTTCTCCCTATCTCTATCAAACATCGGATTCATTTTGTGCTGGAATTCACTTCATCCATTTCGGAGAGAAAACATTTAGTGAGGATTCTGATCTGCCTAAATCTTTTAAATAGCCTGGGAAACTCGCATTTTCAAAATTTTGAGTGATTATATTGTTGAAACTTGCAATTTCACAGGAAACTTCTCTACATTCTCTTCTCAAAAACAGCTCAGTGCCATCGTCTTAGCGCTTCAATTGCATGTTTGATCGAGTAAAAAACTTTGACGTGAGAAAAAAGCTTTTGCCCTTGGTTGGCGTTTTCTACGGTTTTTGCATTTGAGATGGACAACCCGTCACGGTAATACGGAACATGCATTCAAGGAAATAACATAGACATTTTATCATTTTATCTTATATTTTCAAAACGGCTTACTCTTTGACGATCTTTTTGACAAAAACATATGGATAGATTTATCTATATGCTGTTTTCATTTTCCACTCTCACTAGACACTTCTCAACAAGAATTTATTGCTAAAAGTTTGTGTCGCTTAAAAAAATTTTTGCTCTGTTAGGTGGGTCACAAAGTTCGTTCGCCAAATTTTCAAAAAAAACATAACTTCCTTCCTTCTTGGATTAATTCTTTAATCTTATTCTTGTTTGAAAGGGGAAACCTTTCTCTTTACAAAAGTACCCTTGCCATGAAATAGCGTGAAAAGAGAGTTAGATGCAGTTGAATGAAATCAGTCAAGATCGGCACTTTTAAGCTGGATCACAAAAAATTCTGGAAGTGTTTTTATTCAATAGAGAAAATTATGTTCTTTACTATAGCACTTTTTTCACGAATTGAAACGGAAAAGATCGAGAGTTATAAGCAAATAAAGAAAATTACTTAATTGTGCAATTTTTGAGCGTGCTCAAAGTAGCCCAAAAACGCCACAAAGAAAGCGGGAAAGCTATAAAGATGGGTTTTGTGACATTCTCTTTCTAGCTGAGTAAAAAACGAGTGCGATTTTAATTTTGTTGAAAAACACAGGCCCGAAAATTAGGAAATATTACGAAAATCAAAATTGCTCTCGATTGGTATGATTTTCACTCAGCTAGAAAGAGAAGGTCACAAAACCCACTTTCAATGTTTAGGTTTTAGTTTTCCCGCCTTTTTTGTCACGTTTTTGGGCTTTTTTGAGCATGCTCAAAAATTGCAAAATTAAAGTAATTCTCTTTATTTGCTTATAACTCTCGATCTTTTCCGTTTTAAATCGTGAAAAACGTGCTATAGTAAAGAGCATAATTTTGTCTATTGAATAAAAACACTTCCAGAATTTTTCGTGATCCAGCTTGAAAAGTGCCGATCTTGAATGTTTTTATTCAGCTGCATCTAACTCTCGAAATTTTTCACGCCATTTCATGCCAAAAGAACATCTGTAAAGAGAAAGGTTTCCTCTTTCAAATAGAAATAAAATTAGAAAATTCTACTAAGAAGGAAGAAGTTATGATTTTAATTTGGCGAACGAACTTTGTGACCCACCTAATATATACCTCCTTTCAATTTCTTTTCTCTAATTTTTTTCAACCAAAGACGGAGCGTACTTGGCTAGCGGGATTATGGCTATCTTCGAACTTGTTCTGCTGATCCTGATGATGCCTCTTCACTGTAAACTACTACCATCTTCAGCAGAAAAACTTATTTCCAAACCTATTAAGTGGTCACCGAATGTCCAGGAATAACCTGCTTCCCCATTTGCTAATTCGTCACTCTAACTTCGGAATCAATCACCATTCTGATTGCTTGTTCCAAACAGGTTTCACCATCGAAAGCCATTGTCATAGGAGTGTAACTTATCTATTTTCTCTGTCATTGCTAAGCAATCGACCATCTTGCATTCATAACTCGCTCACTGCTTCCATATTGCTTGAAATTTCAAAATATCTTTCTTATAGCTCTAGTTATGTTTTTGGAGGTGTCCAAATTAAACTTGTCTTTCAGATGGGTACCTTCGGCGTTTGGTCTGCCTATGGAGCTGTTGGAAGATCAATTCGAATTGCCTTCGTGGCTTCCAGCATTCTCATCATTGTGAGTCTTTTAAGCTGATTTGAACATATCCATGACGAACAATATTTTGATGCTTGACTTTCTTTTCATTTCTCAATTACTTTTGTTATACGATGCGATGCGCAGCTTGATTTCGAAAACTCTAACGTTGAGGAAAATTTGCTGAATAAAATCACTTTGCCAAGCATTCGACTATCACATTTTTTCTGATACATTGATTGAAATTCCTAAAAAAATAAGCGTATTGCACACCACTCGCACTACTTCACGACTTGTAAGACAGAGCACGTTGAATCCTGGGGATTTCCTGTGGATTTTTTTTTGTTTTGTTCGATCGGATATGTATTAGATAGTAGTACAAATTTTTACGAATTGTCCGCTACAAAGGGGTTTTACTACGATTGGCTGGTAGTGTGTCGTCGGTACAAATGACTCGCATGGGTAACCAACATTAGCGTGATTCACTGCGGTCTAGTAATAGTCCATAACTTGAGTTGATCCAGCCACATCTAACTTTTAGGTTTCCCTAAAAGGCGCTAAAGTGGCATTATCTCACAACCTGTCATTTTAAGTTGAATGTGTTGATTGGTTCAACTTGAACATCAATGCCCAGATACATAGAAGAGAGGACTTGAAGTTCAATTTTATTTATTTAGGCCTACTCCATAGCTTGTATAGTCTATGGATCATGGCTGGCCTCGTCGCGAGGGCAATATGCCGAACTGCTCTCTCCGTCGCTCTACGTTGATGTAGCCAGAATTCTCTTCGTCGTATCAGCAATTACCATTGTCAATCAACTGATCTGCATGTATTCCGTGTTCAAGGAATTGCGATTTTGGGTTTACGCGGTAAGTTGAGAACATTCTTAGATCAGTTAACTTACAACATTCTTGGTTCAGTAACACTCTGACTTTTTTGCATCGAAGCCAATCAAACGAGATGAGCAGAAGCCTAAATTCTGAAAGATCACACTAGTCTTTCTTCTTAATGAAAATTTTTCTTTCCATATACCTCTAATGCTTTATCGAAAAGGAAAGTAATTGCCGTCATTCAACAACAGGTTGCCATTTAGTAACATGATTTGAGGTCCATGGTTCAGAAAAATGAATGAAGCAAAACGAAATGCAGTGTGGGCAAAAAACCATGGGAAAAAACGATCACTATTAATTTGTCTTACAAGTTCTGTATGATTCGCAAAATTCATACTTACATAGCGAGTCTTGGATACTATCAAATATGCTTATTTCGACAATTTGCAAATAATTTGAATGGTAGATAAATAACCCAAACTAATTTTCAAGCATGGTGGTCACAGGTGATTTCTCTAAGTCCGATCATCAAAAAATACAGAAAATTAACTTATGTCACGCACTAACCGGGTTCGTTAGTGCGAGGGCGGATGTCCAGGTGGGGATAGAGAGAGTAATAGAAGAATTTATTAGAAGACTAGAGACAGCAGACAATAACAATGACTAAAACAACGGCCGGGCGGCCTTATTTATAGCCGCCACGGTACAAAGTACATGGTCAAGATCAAATTCAATAATCATTGCCTATAGGTGCCACCGCGTCCATCCTTGACATGCCCCTCCGTCGGTAAGAGTCGTCCCGACTCTTGACTTGTGCATGGTGAGGATTGACAACTCTCGCGTCTTGACCCTTGGAGACCAGGAAACTGACGACAGGTCTTCTCCCACCTCCATAGAAGGAGTGCTGTTGCACCATTGATGGCCGATTTCCACCTAGGCTACCCACATCGTGGCAATCATCTACCAAATCAAGAGGCTGTCCTTGCATCCACCTACGACTATACCTGAAAATAGAATTAAGGGGTCTAATGCGATATTTGTGGCTCTTAGTACGTGATTCAGCACCAGACTCGGTTGTCTTCACGTCATTTCTTAAGCTAGAGCATTGTAAATTTCGATTCAGTCGATTCCTGGCGGCTTTTGACAACCTGTTTCTCTTGGCTCTCTTGAGCTGTCGCTCTAGGGGCCGCACAGGATTGCAGATCCTCGTGTTCTCCCCCGCCACGGTGAGCTTGGCCCCTGCCAAATTAACGCCGTGCTGAAAGCGACCGCTCCTGCTTTTTGTACTCGAGGCTACTTTACAGTTCGCGACCTCTTCCCGTACTCCTTTACGATTACGAGACATCTCGGTTAGCGGTGCAGTCTCGAGCTGTTGTTTCCGCTTTTTCCGTTTTCTTGGAACACCGACTTGGACGAATTTTTCGACAACTGTCCTTCTTGTGCCACTATGAGTGTTTCTCAAATCAGCGATATATGGCCCAAGTTGCGGTAGCGCATTTGTTCCGAGCACAACTCTGCCATCTCCGCCCTCTCTAACGAAGAAGGCTACACTGTGCTTGGTGTGCTACTCTCGACTTGCAAGGTGAGCTTCACCGCTCCCTTGAACTTTATCCGTTTCCCGGAGGCATCGTATGCGGAAGGTAACTGCTGAATCGGGATTTCTTCAACGTCCGCGTTCAGATCAAATCCCTTTTTCATGCTCGTCATTAGCAATCTCAAGGGGATGATGCTGATTTGAGAGCCTGTATCTCCATGGCTCTTCGAAACAATCCCAGCAAACGTACATTTAGCACCATTTGCTTCCCAAACAGCTGATTTTTCCTCGATCGTGTCCTTGCCGAGCTGCAAATCCATCGATCCAAAGATGCCGTAAAGTTACTTGGGCACTGTTCAAGTTTCTTTGCTGACGCTGAGGTTTTCCTTTCTCCACACTCGCGACTATAATGTCCTGGTTTGTTACACTTGTAACAGCGTGGCCACCTTTTGCAAGATGCTTCCAAAGTATCTTGCATAACACAATTTCTTTCCACCACTGGAGTCTGGCTCTCGCTAACGGATTTATCGGCATACACGACTTGTTCCGTGCTTTGTTGCACCGCCACAGCCATCTCCCTGCTACGTTCGCAGCGCAGCGCCATAGCTTTCACCAGCTCATACGCGCATTCCCTCGGCACTGTCTCTACGGTGGTGAACATCTGGAAGTATTCTGGCCAGTCCCTCAACTGCAAAACCAATTCTGCAGCTCTTATCCATGAGAGCTGCTTGTCTGTAGTGTCTGGGTACGCTAACCGCGTAAACCTCTCTAACTCAAGACAGAAGGCTGTAATGTCCTTTGTCATCCGCAAATGTTTGAGTTGTACATACGCAGTTACCTGATTAGCAGACTCATTTATGCTAAATTTGTTTCGCAGTGCTTTTACAATTTCTTCGAACGTACTCTCTCGTATCATCCTTGATAGTGTTTCGGCCACTGCCCTAGGATATCCGTCCAATTTAGACAGGAAAAGGTGTACTAGTATGTCGTTATGCAGTCCAAGTCTACCATACTTCATTATGAATCTGCAAACGAAATCATCGAAGTTCCTTCCTTGGGGATCTTCATAGAGCTCAACCTCTGGAAGGGCCATTGCTGCCAACACCTCCGCAATATCTGCCTGTGCGACCTCACCCTCGGTCGACGGGATTGTATGCGGAATCCTTTTCTGACACTCCGGCATTTTCTGCATGGTGTCCATCGGCTTCTTCGATGAAAACAATTCAAGCTCGATATCTGTACGAGATAGAGCTTTATTCAAATCCAATGTTCTGTGCTTCACCTGCAGCACAAATTTAATTTCGATGATGTATCAGCTCACGGTACACACGCGTATACCCCTCCTCCCTCTAGGCTGGGTCTTGCGGTGTAGCTGATACAAGCCACAACGTATACCCCTTGACCAAGAGGGACCTGTCAGTATACGGTACACGCGCCGCTGCTCCCTTGTAGAGGTAGACCACGGCGGTGTAACTGACACCCTCCTCCGGTCCTCTGAGAAGGCTCGATGTGCGGTGTGCCACACAACGAGCTCCTCTTTGAATCGGGGATATACACTGCCTTTGATATGGGCAGGATACTCGCCTGTTCCGCTTACGCGGTCTTATCGGCGGGGTTGGGTTGGTTTGGTTCGGCCCCCATGTCACGCACTAACCGGGTTCGTTAGTGCGAGGGCGGATGTCCAGGTGGGGATAGAGAGAGTAATAGAAGAATTTATTAGAAGACTAGAGACAGCAGACAATAACAATGACTAAAACAACGGCCGGGCGGCCTTATTTATAGCCGCCACGGTACAAAGTACATGGTCAAGATCAAATTCAATAATCATTGCCTATAGGTGCCACCGCGTCCATCCTTGACACTTATAGATTCTGTTGTGGAGAATGTGTGCATGAGCAAGTGTTTCGAAGGGATTTTCTAGACGGAGATATGACATGAGTCTCTGCCTACTGAAATACCATTATGGGAAAACTTATTTCTGCGAATCGAGCAGTGTAATAAATTTCTCGATATGGGCAATTGCCTCATGTAGACCTGTCTTCAAAACATTTATTTTGCGTTGATTGATTGCTAAGCTCGACGGAATAAATCATTTACTAGGTTTTCTCATATACAGTTGGAAAGCTGATCACATCCTACAAATAATGGCGCTGTATGCTTGTTACTGCAAAAATGATGCCTAAAATCTCTGATTAGTCAACAATTAAAGTTCAAAAAGGTTATCCGTTCTTAAAAAGTTCCCAACGTTGATCTGCAAACTTTAGTGTGCAGTGACGTCGCTAATTATTTTCGTTATGTTATTCATCGGTGGCATTATGGGTCTAGTATTCCGATCTCAGGTAACATCATTTTAGAAATAATTTCGCTCCAACCAAGTCATCTCCTTTATTCAGCTTACTATGCAAATTCCACTTCGTCTGAAGATGCTGACGTCACTCAGGGAGCTGTATGGTACATCAGATATGGAGCAAGTCACTGATGCTTGGGATCAACTGCAGTCAAATGTAAGTCCCCTTGTTTCTCAACATGCTTTTCATCTCTATTACTTGTGTAACTTCAGTTCAAATGCTGTGGTGTAGATGGAAATGATTCGCTCGTAATTTGGCGAACATCTAAGTGGTACATGCATCAGAAACCGCCGAAACCAGTTCTGCCTGCATCCTGGTAAGCTTGAGCTTTGCTTTTCAATAATTAGATTTCTAGGAATCAATGCAACAAAAAAAAGAAAAGTCGAGTTTACTAGGGTCTGATAGTACTACGCTGAGAACATCGTTGTAATGTATTTGATACAAAATCATCTACAGTGTGGAGAAATATTTGTTTTCACCTCATCAAAATTTTTATTACCACATGGGTTAGAGTAGACGTTGAGTTTGCACCACATATCTTAATTTTTTTAGTTAATAAGCGGTGAAGGAACTCATGCTGAATTTCTTATTTTATTTGCATACTAGCTGGCTTACCCGGCTCCGCCGTATGTTCCGAATAGAAAATTCCATTTCTTAACCGATCCGAACCAAACTTGGCACACATACACTTCGGGCCCCGGCGGGTGTCACAGTCCACTTTTCGTTATCGATTGATGTCGATTTTATCGATTTTTTGCAAAATTTGAGCTAGGGGGCTGGGATTTGGCACAGGGGGGTAATCGAGCATGCTGATTACGAATACAATATTAGTTTTCGAAACCGTGCATTACTTTAATCGGTAAAATCGATAAAGGTAATGCACGATTTTAAAAACTAATATTGTATTCGGAATCCCCATGCTCACTTACCCCCCTGTGCCAACTCCCAGCCCCGTAGCTCAAATTTTGCAAAAATCGATAAAATCGATATCGATCGATGACGAAAAGTAGCCTATGACACCCGCCGGGGCCCGTAGTGTATGTGTGCCAAGTTTGGTCCGGATCGGTTCAGAAATGGAATTTTCTATTCGGAACATACGTACAGACAGACAGACAGACATACAGACATACAGACAGACAGACAAACAGACATTCAGCTTTATATATAAGAAGATAAAAACTGGCATTCTGCGTTATCAAATGCTGCAAATCTCTTCAAAAAATTGTGATTCCTCCTTTTTTGATGCATTTGCTTTGATAGTTATTGAAAGACGAATATCAAATTTTTTTCCAAAATCACCTCAATGGAGCCTTTCAAAAATAATCATACATCATAGCAGAAGATTCGAAAGGAGAAGCATTCGAGCTTTGGTGTTGTTTAAGAAGGCCAAAAACCGGTGCTCGCAATATTTGAAACAGTCAGGGAAATATACAAAACAAGGATCGAACTTTCTGGCACTTTCCCAGAATCCGCAACCTTTCATGAGAACCTTAGATGACCAGAAACTTTGCTCGGTTGGAGAGAGTAGGTTACAAAAATCGTTTACTAACTATTATGTATTTTATTGCAATGTGATTTTTGGCGAATTTGCTTAAAAGCAGCAGAAGCATGACCTTTTTCTTCCCCTCTGTTAGTCTTATTTCAAGCTCTCACTTGAAGAACAAATGACTTCCTCTTTCCAATTATGTTAACGCCAAGCAAATCAACAAAGCTGAAAAACGTCCAAAAGTAAAAGGACAGAACTGTCGCTTTACTCGGACAAAAAAAAAGAATCGTATGAGTGCATGATTGGTGGGAAACGAAAAATTAGGTCAAAGAGCAGGTTTGATTCAAGAAAAAACGCAGTTAATTTTTGCAGCTGCGTACCGGGAAAGGAAGAGCAGTGTCGCTCTGGAAATCTACAGAATCCTGACACAAGCACGACATACACCAAAACATGCTATATGCCATTAAGAACAGATTTGCTCTATGTGGTGCACGTTGCTGCTTGGATGTCGTTGGCAGCCAGTGTGTTGCAAGTGAGTTTTCTAGGAAGGATCCACTGATTTTTGTATAATTTTGAAGCTATATTGCTAATAAAATCCTAACATTTTCAGCTGATTCCCGCCATACTTAGCTCTTGGTACGCAAGACTAATCAAAAAGTGAAACGAATAGCATTTCACTGGCAGTATTCCAAGTGCAATTCGTGCCCACTGACAGTATTACCCTGTGCTCCGTATCTTGTACATATGCTTGTTGTAATTAATGAACTTCTATGTTGAAATTTTCTTGAACCAATTTTTCAATTTCATTGCCTTATGCGTCACTTAATAAATCTATCATCAACTACCTTATGCTATAAATGTGCACCAAATGGTAGATATAAAGGACATGCTGCATCTTCAGAGACAAACACGATTAAAACTATTCAATGCCCAACTTACAAGTGCAGATTTTTAAATGCCAAATTGGCTGAGCTGTATCTAATATGAGAAGCGCCATCGTTACGTTAAAGGCAGCGTCCGGGCAAAATTTCGCCTCTCATGTTTCTGCCAATCTGGGGCCTTTTCGTGGCCCTGATTACAGCTGTGAAGTCCAAATTGTTCAAAACTCCCAAAAAACCCGGTTCTTGGGAACCCTCTCTTCAAGGAGCGGACGAGTTTCGAATTGCTCGTCCCCATCGTCATGTCAGCGGGAGGAGCTGCAACTGTACGGATGCAGTGTGCAGTGCAACTGCAATGCAACTGCAATGCACCGCACACCTGCGTAAGCACTCGTCCTCAGGGGTGGTTTGTGATACGAAGGGGCAGCTTGTGATACGTATCACAGGCCCGTATCTCCTTTTAGAGGGCACGTCAAAGGATTGGACTAACGCAGATCGGATACTCATGGGCCCCTCTTTAAATCTATGTGCTAATCTGGGTGGATGGATCTTGCCTGGACGCTGCCTTTAAGTCTTTTGACGTATATCTTCGAGCTTCGATGAACATGGAAACAATTTGAGATATAAATACAAAAGGAAAAGAACGGAGCGGTTCGATCCCGAAGGAACCAGCTGACGGATTTGGAAGTTAGGCCTACCTAACTCACTCGTTCTTCCAGCTTTTGTTACGCAGCTGAAGTATGGGTTGATATCATAGAAACGTCGAGATCGAAAGTATCACGCCTCCCACAGAGCGCTAGATCTCTGTTTCCAAAAGTTTACCCAACACAAACAGCATATTGTCGGATTTCACAGTTCGGACATGGGCAGATTGTTCCATTCCCGTAATCCGGCGAGAAAGCTGCGAAAGCCAAGCATTCATCTATGATCCGGTCGCATTATGAGAAGAAGGATGATAGACGAACATTAGAAGGACTCAAGTGGTTTTTTTCGAAGCAACCTCCCCCCCCCCCCCGAGGAGACCAGCAACGAGAAGCGTAGAGTATCAAACGGGTGGACCAATGAAAAATCGGCTGGATACGAATCGCTCCTGATTTCCGCAAGCTACACCACAGCCAACCAAGAAGATTGTGGATGGTGCAAATTGCACGTAACGCGAGAACAGGCCGAGTACTACGAGTACGTAAGTGAGTGGCGCGCTTTCGCAGGCCTTTGGCAGAAATACTTATTGTTAGCTCAGTTGTTTGAACATAAAGGCAGCGTCCACTTCAATTTTCGACTTCCTTGTCATATTAGGTTCAACCGTGGCCCTTTTCTTAGGTATTCTTGCATTCAGCAGGAAGTCCTGACATGTGCAACGAGGATACAGTTATATACAAGGTGTCCCAAGAAAATTTGCGTGCTTAATTCCAACAGCTCTCCTGCTTTGATGTATTTCGCCGAACAGGTAGAGCTGGCTTCAACATAGATTTACAGTATGGACTATGGACTGGAACTCCCACCTTTCTTCGTTACTGTAGGATTACGATATGAACTTTGGAGGGGGTTTTAAGCAGTTTGGTCGCATTCTGCCTCAGAAAGGAAGCAAAACAAACCCGAAGCCCAGCACTGGGTTAAGCAGACACGTTGATTTCAAATATGAAATTTGCACACCACGTCATGATTCTTCCAGAAGTTAGATCAGAAAGACAGCACAACTGCTCCTCCAATTTTATTCAAAAACCAGTGCTTCACCCCTGCTTCGCAGAGGTTCGCACTGGCCATCTGAAAAGTATAGGTAAACTTACGTAATGATCTTGGCCTTCATCATTCTTTGATGGAGGAAACCGCAAAGTAATTACAAAAATGATCCTTACTTGCTTTGCAACTCTCACATGCATTTAAGCAATGTAAATCATTCCTCACTGTAATTTCGTAACGGACAAACTCCACACAACTTCAGATTAAGCCGCTTATTATAAGTCATGATCGAATGCATTTCTAAATAGCCCAGGAATCGTGTATTGCGTGATGATTTCGACATGCTTCAGACCCCTTTTACACCATTTTCCATGATTTTCTAAATAATTTTTTTTCAACAAAAGTCCTATTTCACAATGGCGCTGTATGCTCATAGTATATCGTGATCTCACAGTAGCGAAGAAAGATCGGAGATCCGCTTCATACTGAAAGTTCAAATTGAAGCAAGCTCTATAGAATGGTAAGTGATGGACCTGATGGGAAGCTTTCCTGTAAACCTCGGGTTAATTTTCGCCTTTTGGGAGGGACACTATAGAACTGGACAACACAGAAATTTTTCCAGAGCTTGCTTATAGGTTAGTAAGTGGGGCATAGATTTTGCTTAAACGCTCCCTAAAAGGGCCCAGCTTGAGTTGCTCACAAGTTGGATATCGCTTTTGGCCCGGAACAAAAGCAAAGGGGAAGTTGTAGTTCGCATCCGGGGCGGGGCTCCGGCGACTGATAGCTATACTACTTTATTTTGACCATTTTCCTTACGTTACACTTATATCGAATGGAATGCTGTATTGGAACTGCATTCTTCTATAAAAAAACCAATATCAACTTTTTATTCCAAGTAATTATGAAATATTATTTCAATGTCGCCATTCCATTCTTGGATGCCCACCTGCCGTTGTATCTCTGAGTAGAGGATGAGTGGTGGCAACTATATCTGGGTCCGAATTAAATAAAAATTCGATCATTCGAATAGAACATTCGAATTTATTCGCATTCGATATTCGATGTTCGGAGTTTTTCCATTTTCAATCGAATAAAATTCGCAAACTCGAATAAGGGGTTTTGATGAGATTTCGTTCGAAATTTTATTCGAATTCGTAATCGCATTAAATCGTGTTCAATTCGAGTTTGTTGCAGAGCCAACTGCCTGGTATCAAACTCGCTTCGTCTACGTTTTTTTTGCAAGATTCGATAATGCATATTTTGCTGCCGTGACCACCTTAGAACTGTATGGAGACTCGCATTCCACCAACTGCTTGTGACAGTAAAAAACAGATGTGGATTTTGATTGGTTGCTTCTGCGATCAATGAGATAGTTCGCACTGCTACTGGCACATGTTGAGCAAAAAAACGCTATCAATTCAAGCTCATGTCCGAGTTTATATACTAAAAGTGTGTTTACATGCTTGTTTCTCTTTCTTCGCCTTGCTCATGCTTTTAGTACGCAAAAGTTCGCACTAGCTCTTGCTTGTGAAACTCATGTTGCAAAACTGCCTCTATTGTTTATCTTAGGGATTTTTTGCGAATACGGTGTGATTTGAGTAAAGGACATTGCAGCTGTAGTGGAGGAAGACGGTTCTGAATTTTGCAGTCAAATCACCTTGCAATAAACTTTTGTTCAGTAGATAGTACATAATAGTGTTATCACAGTGTACTTAAGATTTTTACGGAGGCTTGCAGGCATTTTAACACGGGTGCTATCAACCTACCAACTATGGTAATGGCGAAACCGGGACGAAGGGACATCGACGAATACGAGCTTCGGTCAAAGCCCCTGCACATGCCTTCCGCGATAGTCGGACGCGATATACCAGTCACCAAATTCTTCAAATGTAGCGCCAGCTTATCTAGCGTGCATAACTTTCTGAATGGGTAGATGCCCTAAATGATGTTTTTTTAAAATGCGCCTACGATAAGTTACGAACAATTTGACTATTGTCAAATCAAAATTTTGAGCCACGTGGGAATTGATACAAGGGCGTAAGCGAGGGGTCATGAATAAAAATTGCTTTATCAATTTTATCGATTTTGGTAAATCTTGAGCTACGGAGCTGGAATTTGGTACGAGGTGGTAGGTGAGGGTGCTGGTTATGAATAAAGCGGCTTTAGCCGGATAAGTCAGCAAGTTCTAGATATGGTTGCTTTGGATGTTCGATTCAGCATTCCAATATTTTTCGAATATAATCGATACTCATCCGATATTTTTGATTTTCCGACCTTATTCGGGATTCATTCATTCGAAAATTTTTAAATCTCAAATTTATTCGAAATTTGTTTATTCGAGATTTCTTATTTTCGAATTTATCCATTATTCGTTTACTAGGAATTTTTCATTTTCGAATTTATTCGATATTGATTCATTCGATGAAAAATTTCGAACTTCTCCAAGTATAGTGGCAGCATACCGTTCCTAAGATGAATCCGAGAGAATCTTTTTGAGAAATTCTAGGAGAACGATGCATGTTAAATGCAAATGAACAAAGAGTAAAAGTAAGATTTTTTAGCAAAACTAACCTGCTCGTTTCTACTCGTTCTTATTCCAAACTCTTGGAACTTCGAAATTCTTCGTCGGGTGTAGAATGGCAGGAGAAAGACGTGGAGGCATTAACCATACTTGTTCGATGCCTAAAACTACGAAGACTGTCCCTTACAGAGAGAAGTCTAGCAGAGGCGCTCTTGGATATTTGAGCACCACCCCTGCTAAGGTGGTGATCATGCAAAGTATGCTAAGGATGACATAGTTCATTGGAAACATGTGTAATGTAATTCATGATAAGCTCCAGAGAAGCCATTGAGCACACCATCTAAAAAGGGACCGCAGTCCCATTTGTTCTATTGGCCTTTCGGCTAACATCTCCAATTAAGCATTGGGTTTGTACACGGCAGTAAATTGACGTGTCGCCCTTGGGCATCAGAATCTCGAATTTTTTGGGGCTATTGGATCCTTTGCTCGGATCTTTTCCGCGGAGGTGCTGGCAGGTCTTCAGCAGGCGACGAAAGAATTAATAGGAAAAGTTTGTAATTTTCCATGCATATTCAAGGGCGAAGTACGGGAACATGGACTTTCTGGCCTTGTAACAGCCTTTCACTCGGATTAGAAAGCTTAATAGAAGACAGTTGTCTCTCCAATCAGGAATCTGTCCAAAGATCCTTGTCCCTAGAAGAATTTTGATGAGAAACACATCAACCAAAAGGCGACATAAATGAGACACTTCCTCT